TCTCAGATTCCTGTAGTCTAGCACAGTGGTTGGCAAACTGTGGCTCTTTGGCTCCTTGAGTTTTTAGCAAAGGCCAGCTTAGGAGTGCCCTAATTAAGTTAATAACAATGTACCTACCTATATAGTTTAAGTTTAAAATATTTGGCTCTCAAAATAAATTTTAATCGTTGTACTGTTGATTTTTGGCTCTGTTGACTAATGAGTTTGAGTTTGTCGACCACTGGTCTAGCAGAAAAAACACTGGTGATGACTTTATGGTCAACCTCAGACAGTTTTGTTTTTTGTTTTATACATAGATGTAGATGTAGATGTAGATATAGATATAGATATAGATATAGATGATATTGATATAGATATATAATTGATTTCTGAGAGAAAGGAAGATGAAAACAGTTAAAAACATCAACAATGGGACCTAGCCGTTATGGCTCAGTGGATAGTGTGTCGGCCTGCAGACTTAAGGGTCCTAGGTTCGATTCCAGTCAAGGGCATGTACCTTGCTTGCGGGCACATCCCCAGTGGGGGTTGTGCAGGAGGCAGCTGATTGATGTTTCTCTCTCATTGATGTTTCTAATTCTCTATCCCTCTCCCTTCCTCTCTGTAAAAATCAATAAAATATGTGTGTGTTTTTTTAAAGAAACATCAATGATGAGAGAGAATTATTGATTGGCTGCCTCCTGCAAGCCCCCTACTGAGGATCAAACCCAGAACCTGAGCATGTGCCCTTGAACAGAATCAAACCCAGGGCCCTTCAGTTCGAAGTCCCACGTTCTATCTACTGAGCAAAACCAGCTAGGGCTCGGACACCCTTTTCAGAATAAAGCATTTCACCAGAACTAGGAGAATCTTATTCTCTAGCATTTTCTGTATGTCCCAACAGGTGTTGGAAAACTGGTGGTAGCAGCAGTAACACGAAAAGGAGAAATCTTGTGTGACCATTTGATCTTAGGGTATCCCCGATGAAACACAGCCATCACAAAGATGGGCTTCTTAGCTGTTGATATCTTCTCAATTCTTGAAAGAGATGGTTTGCCTCAAAATAACACTAGATACAATTGAGTGGTGTCCAAGTTAAAGTCAGCACAAATTATCAGAGCCCGTGGCTTGCTGAGTCCTCACAATTCCAACCATTTACTGAACTCCCCCCAACACCATAACTTCTGGGGACTCGGCAGCATCACCTGCCCACAGCCCCATGGCCAGGGCCTCCTGCGACCATCAGGATGCTGCAGACCCGGGTTGTCTCCCTCCCACCAAGTGGACGGAGTGCTCTCAGCCTCACTGATCATCTATTCACTGCGCTAAGTCAGGAGTCTTGGCCAACCAGCAGCCCAAGGGGGGACCGTGGCAGCTTATAAGTGCATTAAATCTTCGTATTAGCCCCTGGCTTGGTCAACCTTCATGTCGGCTTTGTTCTCTTTTTTTGAAGCATGACAAACAAGTGGTTTTTCTCTTTCACTTTAATGATTCTTTCAACAAAAAGGGGTAGTTTAGGGCTTTCTCCAAGGCTGATAGGTGTGTCTGTTTAATGAGGTTTTTATTGTACTGTATTGGCTTTCCTGAAAAGAAATTACGGGCAGCACACAGCGGATAATAGAACAAGACTGGAAGAAACAATAACCAAGAGGAGGGAAATTAGTGTGGCAGCAGATGCAGGCGGTGCCCTCTGGGGATTAAATGCCACTCGCATTCTCCCTCAGCCACCACTGTCCTGGCAATAACGTGGACGTGGGCACTTCTGTGCCAGTGATGTGTGCGGCAAAAGATACGGCTCTAGATATGGACCCAGCTAAACTGCCATCTGTGGAGGAAGAAGGAAGGGTGGTGAGCTCATCCCAGACAAAGATGAGTGAAGCTCAGAGTGCGGGTTTACAAGGGCTGGCCGGTTACCATGGAAACTAATTGGCGCTAATAAGTAAAGGGACATTTTAACTGTGGGAACAGAATAGGAGGGCCTATTTTTCAATATCACCGTTACCTACCATTCATATTTTTTTTCATTTTCACAATTATCTTTACTTCATTCCTGGGATGAAGCTCTCCGCACACAGCCTCACCTTCCTCAACAAACATGACGTTGAAATGCTGAATACCGCCTCTTAAAATGTGCTGTATTTCCAGGTTTAGATCTTTCAAGACAGAATCGGTTTCACTTTTTCTCCCCCCTTAAAAAATAAACTGTTTGCAGATGGTGAGGAGAAAGGAAGGGAGGGAGTGGAAAGTTCTTACTAACTTCTAAGCTGACACTGCTGAGCCCTGAAGCTGGCTGCGGAGAGAGGGAAGCTGGGACCTTATCCTACAGCACCAGCTTCAGGTTTTCCTCTGAGTTGATTTTCCCTAACAAAAGCGTTTCAGAACATCAACCACACACACACACACACACACACACACAGCAAAAAGAGTGTCTTGTGGACTTACTTTACAAAGGTGATGTTTACAGACCCTTGCAGGGAGCCAGAATTAAGATCATAGCAAATGGGCAGTGGCTACTGCTCCACTTGGACTTTCCTTAAAGCAAGTTTTATGTCGAACAAATAGCCGAAGGTCGCAAAGAGAAGCCGTGACTGAGGTTTAATGAAAAGGTTGACAGCTGAGTTAGAAGCGAAGTGTGTTAAGAAAGCACTTTCAACAACAATGTGGGTCAGAGCCGGGGACACTGGGGAATTGTCTTTAAAAAAGGTGTGTTACAAGCACAGGGTTGATAAAACACCTTCACAGCTTCTTAGGTTTTACTTCTGTAAGTTAATTTCTAGTTTAAGAGAATGCAAACTACGTTAATAATGTCTCCCGGGTCTTCAAAATCTATGCAGTTGAGGTAGTCCAGATTTCCAGACGTGAGTCTGGTTGGATTAACAAATATATATGTGTATATATTTTTTAAATGAAAAAAAATTGCTTTACAATAATTGGCACAATTAAAGTTTTATGGTGCCCCAGGGAAGTTTTAGCCCTGTGGTGCCCCTTGCCATTGCTAAATGTCTCTGTGTTGATGAAGTATCTGGATTTAGCTGATTAGTTATAGTGGTTTAGTGAATATGCTGTATATTGTGAAGTGGACACCTCATCATCACTTCTGGGAAGAAACTGAGCAAATAAATCCGTACTTCAGCCTCTAGTTCTGTTTTTCTCTCCTTCCCTACAGCCCAGGGATAGCAAAAATTCACTATCTGAAAATGATGGTTCTCTCATCTTGTGTCTCAGAAAATTGTACCAGGAGTCATTTTTAAGTATCGTAACATGATATCACACAAAAATTCCTGAAAAACAACAACAACAACATGCTAGTCAAGTCAGTTTTGCTAGCTATTGAAATGCTTGTTTGTGATACTGGCACTTTGAGTATTTGATAGCTATTTATAGTCTAGATTTTAATGCTTTAAGCATGTTTAAAATTGGGGGGCGGAGGGGTATTCCAGTAGTCCCCCTCACATTTTAAACAAATTCAAAATTTTAAATGTTGGCTTCTCACACACCCTGTCAGGGAGTTGATAACTATTTCAAATCCCCAGATTTTCAAAATTCCTGAGAGGTCTGATGAACTTTTTTTAAAAACGGTGAGATCTGCAGCAACAATGGGATTATTTTCAGATAGCGCCTTAAAAGCGGGCGTACCAAGGATAGCCATCTCCCAGTTCGGACTGATAGCCAAGTAATTAGTTCTATAAACACAGTTCAGAGAGAAAAAGAAGAAAGGAAGGAAGGAAGAAACGCACGTCCGAAGGAGGTATTGGAACGACCCAACGTGGAAACCATTTCAAAGCAACATTGTTAATGAGCTGCCGCAGCGATAGGGACGTTATAAGTGCAATTAACTGGGAGCCCATAAAGATAATCAATGGCAGAGAGCAGCGCGCCGGCACCGGGGGCTCCTACCAAGCCACGTCTGCGCGCGCCGCGAGGGATGCGGCCAAAGCCACGGACCGCTACCTGCGGGCGCGCTCTCCTCCCCACGCGTGGGGACCCAAATGCATTGCCCCGGCTCTTCCTGAAGTTGAGCCCATAGCAACCCATGGAGCAGAGAAGTTTCTGCTCCACGCTGCGCCCCACCCCCTTCCTCCTCCCAGGGAATGGCTGGAGGCAGCCACGATTCCACCAAGGGGAGGTAGGAGCTTATACTTCAAAACGTAGAGATAGATGTGCCCTTTCTGAGCAAACCGCTCCTTGCAGGAAAGCTTTCCCGGGATCGGCCAAAACCGGTTTGGCTCAGTGGATAGAGCGCCGGCCTGCGGACTGAAGGGTCTCGGGTTCCATTCCGGTCAAGGGCATGTACCTTGGTTGCGGGCATGTCTCCAGTGGGGGGTGTGCAAGAGGCAGCTGATAGATGATTCTCTCTCCTCGATGTTTCTAACTCTCTATTCCTCTCTGTGAAGGATCAAGAAAACATATTTAAATTTAAAAAAAAAGGATAAGGTGATCAGACGTCCCGCTTTGGGCGGGACCATCCCGATTTTTAACCACCTGTCCCGGGCGTTTTTTTAAAAAAAAAGTCCCGATTTTTAAAACGACCCGGGACAGATGGTTAAAAATCGGGACCGTCTGGTCACCTTAGCCAAGGAGGAATCTGTCCTTTCGGGGGCGAGGAGGAGGAAGGAGGAGGTGGCCCTCCCTTAGGTGGGCAGGAAAATATGGTTTTTTTAGGGTTTCTGTGCGTCCCGCGGAGGGTTCCCCCTCCCCTCCCCACAACGTCCCCGGGGGAGCGCAGGGAGTTGTGAAAAGTAACGCGCAACTGGCCACCGGGAGGACCCACTCCCTCCTCCACCTTCCCGCTGGCACCTCCCCCTTCTCTGTCTTTATAGCCGCCCTTTCTGCGAGCCCAGCTCAGGTTACCGGCTCGGAGCTCCCAGCCCTCCGCTCGCAGCCCTGCCCGCCCTCCCTGCGCCCGGCCCCGGCCCCCGGCGGAGCGCGGCCCCGGCCCGGCCCGGGGATTGGGCGGCCCGAACTGACACCAACCACCGCGCTGAGTGCTCGCCGACGTATTCCCCCAGATGGTCGGGGTGAGTGTGTGTCATCACGTTCGAGTGTGGGGATTAGGAGTAGGAAGGCTGCCTGGCTGGAGCTGTGTGGTCTCCTCCGCGGGAGAGGAGGTGCAGGCAGCAGCAGAGCGACTTTGCTGGTGGAGCAGGAGGAGGAGGGATTCGCTTTCTGCAGACCCAGGACAAGCAGGGCTTCCCCCCCTCCTCCCCAGGTAAAGTCTAAGAATGCCTCTCTCTCTCTCTCTCTCTCTCTCTCTCTCTCTCTCTCTCTCTCTCTCTCTCTCTCTCTCTCTCTCTCTCTCTCTCTCATGGAATGCTAGCGCAGCGCACTTGTCAAAGCCAGTTGTTGCTACCTTCTCAAAGCTGCTTTTGTGCGGCTGACAGATAACCAGGGAGCGTCGCTCAGGGCTGGGCTGTCTTTGCAGGACTAACGCTCAGGCTCCTGCCTTCTCGCTCTTCTTGGAGGTGTAGCTGAGGAAGTGCCTGTTGGAGCCGTGCGTGTGCCCTTGACCATCCTCATTGCACACGCAGAGTGGGAGCTGTGCATTGCTCCCAACGGGGTGGGTGAGGCCAAGAAAGCGTGCATGTTAGCTCTCCAAAGGAAAAAAAAATTCACTTCCAAACTGTTGCATTTTACCCGCTCCGTTTATAAGGATTCTTGCCAGGGTCTATGACTGAGCGGCCGGTAGAGATGAAATGCTTTATTCTGTGCTGATGTTTGCCATGTTGCTTGTATGTTGATTGACGACGGGCCACGGTGCTTTTAAACCATCTTGGGGACGGGGCTCTGAAGTTGGCCAACTCCTTCAGAGCAGCTGATAGCAGAGCTTTAAAAAACAAAAAACTGCTCGGAGCTAGAAGAGAAACAGAGAAGAAGGAAGTGGGAACATGCTCTTTAACTTCGCCCTCTGCAGCTGCAGGGGGCGGTGGGCGGTAACTCATTTGCAGATCTGTTTGTGAAAGTTTTACAAGTCACTGAAAACGGCAGCAGCATCTCTGTAATGGATCATTAGAGCCACTGCATTTATGGGGTTTTGAACGGGCTATCTGAAGTGTTAATGAAATGTAAATAGATTTTTTTTCTGGCTTAGTGATAAACAAGGGTGTTTTCTTTGTTGTTGTTTTTTTTTAAAAAAAAGTCTTCATTATACATTAATCATTGGAGATGAATGGTCCTCCCCAAGCTTGAGCTTAATGAGTTTTCAACTTGTGTGCAATAACGTAACCGCTCTGCCCAAAGCACCCACCAACATTAAGTCGAGCGGCAAACAATCATGCTTAGCCTGGGGTATAAAGAAGGCCTTCCGAATGGATGCCCTGTGCTCACAGGGATCACAAACTAAGTTTTTCAGTGTTGAAATGCTTGATCAAGCTGGGGGAGTCTGGAAAGGCGCTCCTTTCGCGCCCTCCCAGACTTGCCTCCCTCATCAATATTCATGTCCCGGTGGCGGTGCCCGGGCTCCTGGCTCCCAGCGGACTTGCACGTCGTCGGGTGGAGAAACCCAACACCGTTCTCGCCGGCCACAGGTGAGGGGCTCAGTACATAGTGCTGGATGCGAGCTCTGCTGAAATGGGAGCTGCTTCATGGGTTTATGGCTCGTGCTTTGTGATTTTTATATGCATCTGGACAAAGATGCCCGTAAAGTTACGTTTCAAGTTGCATTGCACGTACACTCTTTACAACCAGAGAGTCGATGTGTTGAATTCCCTTCTTTAAAAAAGTTATGATTCCAACACTCTTTTAGTGCGGTGTTTACTCGTGATTCAGAATGTGCTCCTGATAGGGTCTGAGCAGTGCAGTGAGAAGACAGCCTCCCACATAACCAGGCGGTGACTAGGAACTGAGCATTATCCGATTCCCAGTATTGCATAACCAAAATAGGACTAAGTTCGGAAGCTGGAGTCTTTTGGAATTCCAGTCCTTCCAGTTTGGCTTTACCCTCGAGCGGGGGTTTGGGACACACACTGGCCCATGCTGCCTTGGGGTTAGGACTGCACACTGCCTGGGGCTGGTCCGGTGCTGACCAGCGATGCCATTTTTTACCATCGCAGGAATATTTCAGGAGGCAAAGTTCCTCCTCACCGATGTGCTTCTTCAGGAGGTGGGTGTGATGGCATCTTACAAAGGCAAGTAAGTCGCTGTTTGGCCCCACAAGCATGTGCTACTGCTGTTGCAGACTGACCACCAGGCCACCTGCCAGGGCATCTAACAATATGGGACAGTCACCAACCTTCCCATGCCCACTCCACTGCCACCACCATCAAGTCAATTGTACATAGGACTAAGCAAGATGGAAAGGAGAGCTCAGCCGAGGTGGCTCAGTGGTTGAGCATTGACCCAGGCACGAAGAGGTCTCCAGTTCGATTCTCACTTAGGGCCCATCCCTGGGTTGTGGGCTCATCCCCCACAAGGAGCATGCAGGAGGCAGCCAATCAAAGTTCTCTCTCATCAATGTTTCTCTCTTTCTCTTCCTCTCTCTCTCTATTAAAAAAAAAAAAAGTCAATACAAATATGTCTTTTTAAAAGATGGAAACAAGAAAGGAAGTGTTGAGGAGTAATTAATTCACACCTTGGGAAGACCAAATTGTGTGTGAGTCCCCTTAATATGAAGTCACTGAGCAAAACTTAAAAGGTTCTGCTTGAAAGACAGGGCCCACAGGGCAAGCCCAGTCTCTTGTCATGTTCTGAATCACCTTTTGCAGATGGTACGCATGCAGAGACATATTTATGGTGACTTCTGCATACCTCAGTTTGACATTTGGATTCTTTGTGACAGCACTTGGGCCGGCAGCACACATGAATTTCCCATCAGTATTGCAACAGCTGTGAAAGTGCTTGAGCACCAGGGGTCTCTGGCTCAGGGAGTGAGGAACTGGGCTGCAGATCTGTTTGCACTATGGATGCGTCCCGCTATCCTGGCATGTAATAATGGGACGCAATAAGGTGAAACACGATCTGAAAGCTGGATTCATTAATTTACAAAATCCATGTTTATGGTGGGATGGAAATCTAGGGCACATTAGCCTAGGTAGTCAGTGAACTCAAGGTAAATTAAGAGGAGGGACCTTCATCAAAGAACTAAAAGGGTCCTACTCTGTTTTTTCCCAAGGAAATTTCTGTGACTGCAGGGACATTGTTGAGGTCATTGCCATTGTAATAATGGAGACAAAGGGCACCTTGACACTTTGCATGACTTTTCTCAAGTATATCTGTCTGTCTATATGGGGATGAGTAGGAGCTTGGTTCTTTTGTGTTTTAGATTTTAAATGGTTTTATCTTTTTAAAGATCCATGAAGTGGATTTCTGATACTGAGTATTGAGCTTTCCCCAACCACAGCCCCATGGATGCAGCCAACCAATGGGTCAGGTCAAGACATCTGGTCTTTTTGGCCCTGTGCAATATTTTTGGATGGAGAGCATAGAGTAAATTTAAGGGGGTTAAAATTTTTAAGAAGGTTGTTTTTAAATAGATTATTTTTTAAAATCATAATTATTGACTTTGAAGAAAAAGAGGCTCATATATAAAATTAAGATTTTGGTCATATGGTAAATTTACCTACTTTAGGTTAGATCCATGGTGAGGGGGTGGGAGGGGAGGAATTGGTATTTAAAAGAAGATTTTTTTCGAAAAAAGTGTACCCTAAATATGTTTCCTATTTAAAATATTTTCAATTCTATCTCAGTATGCTAGGAAGAAGAATTAGCCTGGTAGCTATTTTTTTTTTTTTCCTTCTCACCCCATAGCTAATCTGTCATCAGATTCTGCAAGTCCTTCCTTTCAAATGCCGGCACATCTGGCCCCCAGCTACTGCTCCAGTGTGATGAGCGGATCACACGTGGCTCATTACAACAACCTCCTCACTGGTCCACTGCCTCTTCTGTCCACCATGGCAGCTGCACTTCCACAAACCCTTCTTCCGTCAAAGCCGTTCCCGGCTGAGAATCCCAGTCTTCTCAGTCTGAGGGCCTGGCCCTCTGTTATGTGGCCCCAACTTTCTGACTCTGTCTCCCACCAAATTTCTAGAGCAACAGCCGTCTACCCTTGCCAGCAACTGAAGTGGCCCGATCAATGTCCCCGCTTCCTGGTCTCTTCTTTAATCCCTAACCATTCCAGTTTTCTATCTGCTTATCTGCAAAATGACGATTTATCATCATGTGCGTGGTTTCTCCTAGTTCTGTGTCACAAGACTGTATAGAACGTCCTCCCCATGTCTACGTCCTACAAAGTTTCAGCTTAAATTCCACCTCCTCCAAGAAGCCTCCCCTGACTACTACATCTCCTGATGATGTTATCCTTAGCTTGAAGATGACCATCAGTTACTGATGATTTACACTTAGCAAAATCACCCTGTTTTTAATCCTGCTTTCTGCTTTGCCTTTTTATTCTTTTTAAAAATATATATTTTATTGATTTTTTTTTTTTTTTTTTACAGAGAGGAAGGGAGAGGAATAGAGAGTTAGAAACATCAATGAGAAACATCGATCAGCTGCCTCCTGCACACCTCCCCCTGGGGATGTGCCAGCAACCAAGGTATATGCCCTTGACCAGAATCAAACCTGGGACCCTTTAGTCTGCAGGCTGATACTCTATCCACTGAGCCAAACTGGCTAGGGTGCCTTTTCATTCTTGACTCCTTAGATAGGGTGAAGTCTCCTAAAACATGGAGTGGCCTGGTCCACTTTGAGCCCCACAGAAAACATTCAAAAATGTGTGTTGACAAGCTCACAGGGACACTCCAACATTCCAGGCACTTTCCCCTCTAGTTCCACCTACAGGAGGAAGGGTGTGTGTGTGTGTGTGTGTGCAGAAATGATGAAACCTGAATGATTATATTTTGGATTAGCTTAGGAAAGATGCCTCTTAAGCAAAATATGATATTATTGCAACAAATTAAGCATGTGTATCATATGAAAAACCCTTATCGACTTCAGTTTTCTATGACTATAGTAGAAATTACACCTATTAGCTGCCCTTCTGTGTTATAAAATTTCAAACATGATTTGGAAGCCGGAAGGTACAGTCTTGGGGTTGAGGCAGGCTGGTGTTCTAACCCAGGCACCGCCTCTCATTGGCTGTGTGGCTGTGGACCAGTGACGTCACAGCTCAGTTCTTGAAGTGTGTAAAGCGGCGACAAGAATACTTTCCTTGGGGATGTTGTGCAGAAAACGCATTAAGCACCTGGCTGAGCTGCACAGGCAACAAATGGAAGA